TGCATTTCTCCATAAGCATGCTTTAGCTGCTTCCCATAATTTTGGTATACTGTTTTCATTTTCATTTGTCTTAAACTATTTTCTAATTCCCCTTGTGATTTCTTCTTTGATTCATTGGTTATTTAGGAGAGTGTTGGTTAATTTTTACTTACTTGTGAATTTTCCAATTTTCCTTCTGTTGTGGGGTTCTCATTGAATCCCATAAGGGGTCTTGGTGGTGCGGTGGGTTGAGGATTGGCTACTAACTGAAAGTTTGGCAGTTCAAACCACCAGTAGCACTGTGGGAGAGAGATAGGACCAAATGTTTCCATAAAGAGTTACCGCCTTGGAAACCTTACGGGGAAATTCTACTGTGTTCTATAAGGTCACTAAGAATCAGAATTGACTCAAAAGGTATCAGGTAATTGAATTCTCTTCTGGTAAGAGAAGACGCTTAGTTTGACTTAAATCCTTCTGAAAGTTTGTGGGCTTGTTTTAGGGTCTAGTGCATGATCTGTTCTGGAGACAGTTCCTTGTATTGAGAAGAATGGGTCAGGTTGTACTCTAGAGCTGGGATGGGACATGTCAACAGGGGAGTTTACTAGGGGACGGAGCCAGGCTTGGAGCAGAGGTCTTGGAAGCATGCACACTCAAAGCCCCCCACAGTACCCGCATTCCCTGGACTTTCAGATACACAAGGAGTGCCTGGCATGCAGAGGGGCTGCCGCGGTGTTCGACATGTCCTACTTTGGGAAGTTCTACCTGGTGGGACCAGACGCGAGGAAAGCTGCTGACTGGCTCTTCTCCGCTGACGTCAGCAGGCCCCCAGGTATGGTGCCCACGTCTTAGTGCCAGCACTGTCCTCTCTGTCTGCTCTCCTCTGCCCGGGGTCAGGCCTTCCTCATCACTAAGTCCAGGTGTTAGGACCTCACCACCTTCCTTCAGCCCCCACTCCAGCCCGCCTGCACCTTGTCCCCACTACCTTTTATTTACTTGATTCTAGAAAGGATTCACAGTCTTCCCAGGAATGAAGGATCTTCCCAGATTCATTGGTTATTTAGGAGAGTGTGGGTTAATTTTCACTTACTTGTGAATTTTCCTTCTGTTGTGGGGTTCTAATTGAATCCCATAAGGAGTCTTGATGATGCAGTGGGTGAAGTGTTGGCTGTGGGTTAAAACGTTGCCAGTAAAAATGTAGGATAAATAGCAAATATGAACGTTATATGGTGGTGGTTATGTGCTGTGGAGTTGGCTCTGACTCATAGCAACCCTGTACAAAGCTTCCGAGGCTATAAATTTTTACAGGAGCAGAAAGCCTCATCTTTCTCCTGCATAACGGTTGGTAGTTTCGAACTTCTGACATTAAGGTTAGCAGCCTGACTTGTAACCATTATCAAAGCTCCAGGTGAGTGTTATATAGTTGTTGTTGTTGTTATGTGCTGTGGAGTCCGTTCCGACTCATAGCGACCCTGTACTGGGTTTCCGAGGCTGTAAATCTGTACGGGAGCAGAAAGCCTCATCTTTCTCCCACAGAACAGCTGGTAGTTTCGAACTGCTGACCTTGAGATTAGCAGCCTGATTCATAACCACTACACTACCAGAGCTCCATAAGTACCATGTAATATTTAGGATATTTAATCTTTAATCATTATTCCTACATTTTATCCTCTGATTGACCCACTAAAATCTCACCTAGCCCCATCTATCCAACTAACCAATTAACCACCACTCATTCACACATGCGTATCCTTCCCACCCTCCTTCAACCCTCCCATGGACTCACCACCCAACTACTCACCCACCTACCTCCTCATCTGTCCATCCATCCATCCATCCACCCAACTGTCCGTCCGTCCATCTGTCAGTCCGTCTGTCCATCCATCCATCCATTCATCTGTCCATCTACCCGTCCATCCATACATGTGCCCTCCCATTCTCCCTATCTACCACCATCTCCATCTCACTGACCTATCACACCCTCCACCCCTCTAGTCACCTCACCATCCGTTCATCCACCTGTCTTTCATCCACATACTCAGCAGACATTTGTTGATCACCTGGTTTAGCAGGTAATACGCTGGATTCCAGAACACCAACATGAATAAGATGTGAATCTTGTCTCTAAAAGCTTCTCTGGGTTGGGATGTGGGCTAGGGGGTAGGGGTGGAGTGGGAGGAGCCAATGGAAAGGTATTTCAGAAGAAAGCAGTATCCCTCCCAGTCCTTCCTGCCCCGCCCCACAGGGAAACTGCCTGCTATTGAGGACACTCAATTTTAATGGAACCCCTGAGCTGGGCTGTGGGGTCCTCTGAGGTCACTCCCTACTGGCACACCTGCCAATTGGCCCAGCCTCTGTGGCTTTGCTCGGTGACAAGGAACTCAGCATTGCTGTGGTGGCTCACCTGCTCAGGGCCCAGCACACACCTGGATGTCTCCCTGCCTCCAGGTTCAACAGTGTACACCTGCATGCTGAACCATCGTGGGGGTACAGAGAGCGACCTGACAGTCAGCCGCCTGGACCCTGGGCTCCAGGTTCCCCCGCTAGCTCCTGCCTTTGAAGGTAAGAGGGGCTTCTGGGGGCCCAGGGGCCCTGGCTCAGTGTTACTGTAGTGACGGGAAGGTGACTGTCAGCAGGACAGAGGGGACTGGACTCTAATGACTGTCCACACCCACCATGCTTAGGACCTGCAGGTTTTGTGCAGGCGGTGACGTACTGTCTTTGCATCTGTCTGCATCATGACATTTGGGAGCAGTTGTCCACAACAGTGCACTGGGCCTCAATTTCTGCCTCCTTTGAGGAGGGATTATACTCGGGCAGCTTTCTCACTACCTGCCTAACTCCCGGCCTCAGGCCTGGAATGTTCTTAGAGGGTAGTTAGGATGGTGCCTGGATTGTCTTCTGCAGTCCCTCTACTTCTGCTTGCATGCCCCCATTGATGGGGAGCTCAGTACCTAGCATTCCTTGTTTTCAAAGCCCCAAGTACTTCACTCAGCCTACACCTGCCTCCTCTTGCTTTGACCTCCTGGCCTTGTTCCCTGACCGTATACCCAGGAGCAACCTCATCTCTCGGCCTGTAATGAGCTTCCATCAGGGAGGAGGGAAGCTAGTGAAATTCACAGGGAGTGGGACATATTCTGGTTTCTAGGAATGGGTCCATGGCTACTCTGGAGAGACTGGATCTGCAGAGGGGAGAAGGGATAGCTGGGGGGATCTGGGGAAAGGGTCAGCCCAGTGAGAGAGCTTAGCTGCTGCCTGACCCTTTGTGCTGCCAGCCATTTCACTGATAGTCATGTAACCTAGCTCTCCTCTGAGCCTTAGCTTACCCATCTCTGAAATGGCCACAAGAGGACCTCCTTCCCAGCACTTCTGTGCAGCAGCAAGTCTGGAAGTACCCAGAATGCTGGGAGCAGCCTCCTTGAAGCTCAGTGTCCCCCTCTGGGAATAGGGAGCTGGCTAGTCCCCTACACACGGGCAGGCACTGTAAGAACCTGGGTCTGGAAGAGAGAGGGCAGAGCACTAAGTGGTTTGAGATGGGGTTTTTGCACAAGTGTCGATGAAGCAATGCCTGGCAGGCAGTGTGTACACAGCGGTCTTTGAACCTCAGGTATAAGTAATGTTGGGAGGACTCGAGGCAGCGGAATCCCATTCCCCAAGGACAGGCCTAGGAGGGAGCCTCAGCCCTGGGACAGGCACAGTGAGAAAACCTAGTGTGGAATCCGATTTATTTTTAGGTTTAAGAGCCTCACGTTCCTGGATGAATATGCATGTGTTAATTATGCTGTTAAATAAGATCACAATGATTCCAAATCTTGCGGTTAGTTCCACTAGCTAGGGTTGTATGCAAAGCAGGTGTCATCTTAAATGTAATCTAAAAATATCTTTATTGATTTTTTAAAAATATTACAAGAAAAATCTATGCTGTAGGAATTGTTTGATAATACAGAAAAGCCTACAATGAAAGGTCCCCCACCCCCACCACAGCCCCAGACCTACCCCACCGGCAATACACTGGGGTCTGGGGCCTGTGTTGCCCACTAGCCTGGGGATCAAGGTGTAAACGGTGGCTAATGGGAAGGACTGGGTATGAGGTGGTGATATTGGGCTTTAGGACTTCAGCCTGGGGACAGGGTTGGGGCTGGGTCCCTGGTCAGAGTCCTGGATGTGAGGCTGTGGTGCAGTGATGGGGGAGGAGCCTGGTCCCTTTGGGACATGGACTTGAGGGAGGGATGGGAGTGTGTGTGTGTTCCTGGGGGTTGGAGACTCCATTCATCTGGAGGTGCTCATGGAAGACTTCCTGGAGGTGGAGGGTTTTGAGTTGGGCCTGCATGTGCAGTAGGGATGGAGGATCATTGGCACACATAGCAGGGAGGGTGACAAGGTGGGAAGGTCCCAGGGCTCCTTACAGGAGGAGGGTGGTCAGGACTCGCCCCTGCTGGGGGTCTCATGCTTTTGTGCTTTCAGCTCCTGTTACAGCTTAGCAAGGGGCCCTGGGATGGAGGGTATTCCAGCCTAGCTATGGGCCTTGCCAGCCCCCAGCCCCAGTCCTCTGCTCCCAGTGGCTCCTGCCTGCTTGGGAAGGACAGAGACCCAGCTCTCCATCAATAACAGCCTGTAGCATGACCACCACCCTAGCATGGCCCATCAGAGCCTGGAGGGTGGCAATGGGGAGAGGGGCCTCCTTCCATGGCCACTCTGACCACCTCCTGCAGGGGGTCTCAGCTCTCTCCACCTGTCCTCTGCTCTAGCCCTTACCTCTTCCTTCCTGCCCAGTGCCCCAGGGCAGGGGCCTGGAGTAGATGGTCCCTATCGGGGAAGGTCCTCCTATAGGGCCTGGACCCTGGACACAGGTGGCTGTCTGAGTGTGCAGCCATTACTCCTCGGCTTCTTGGTATCACCTGTGTGCTGGGGTCTCCTGAGGCCCTTCATCCATCCATTGCAGGCTGGAAAACTGGGGTCCCATCACTCTAAATGGATGCCGAGATAAGCAAGAAGAGGGTACAGTCTGGGCAGTGAGTAGACAGTGGAGTAAACCCACCTCACCAGGTTCAGGTTGCCGATAGGTGTTTGTGGCATCCCTACCTGATGAGACGTCCTTACCCCCGGTCACAGCTGGGGAAGATGAGGGTGCCGGCGTGGACATCCTCAGGATGTTGGGCTGGACTGAACTGGGCTGGGCTCCCCGGTATCTGAATGGTGCCCCACAGGCCCACATTGGTCTTGTTTCTTCCTGGTAACAAGGTGTGATAACAAGCAGAGTTGTTATGTGTAAAGTCCCACACAGAGTCCACCCCAGGAGAGATGTGACTACACTGGCCAAGTCAGGGTCCCTGAAGACACTGCGGCCATGGCAAGAGGAGTGAAGAGGGGCTGTCAGGACACAGGGGCTTGGGCAGGACACGTCACCCAGCACTGGCTAGAAGTCACCTTGAGCCTGAGAACTGAGCTCTAGAATCTCCCCAGGACTTACGTTCTGGTCAGAAGTCCATCTTTCCTGGGTTGGAAGGCTGGCTTCTGTAGCCCTCAGAGGTCCCCCGACCTGAGCCCACCCCCTATTTCCAGCGAAGGGCCTGCATTGGTGCTGCCTGCCTGGGGTACAGTAGAGAAGGACTAGACACTGGCCCCTAGAGGGTCACTGTGAGGTCTGGTGTGGAAGCCTGGGTATCAGGGCCCTGAAGGGTCACTGACGTTGATGAGAGAGCATTTCTCCACCAGGCGGGTCGCCCCGCCCACCCTTTAATCTTCTCACCATCCGGTTCTTGTCTTCCAGGGGATGGCTACTACCTGGCCGTCGGTGGGGCAGTGGCACAACACAACTGGTCCCACATCACTAGTGTGCTGCAGGACCAGAGGTTCCGGTGCCAGCTTATTGACAGCTCCGAGGACCTGGGCATGATCAGTGTCCAGGGTCCGGCCAGGTGAGGAGGGAAGGGGGTCACACACCTGGACACACCTGGGACCTGGAGCCCGGTCACTCACCTGGGGTCCTGGAAGAGCTACTTGTTTATCAGAATGGGACATGCCAAGGTGCTAAAATCTCTGATCAGTTCAGAATCTTGGGAAAAGATGGGCGAGTTTTAGTGCGTTGGAGGCTGCTCCGAGCAGCGGGGACGAGACAGGCAGATGAAGGGACAGCCTGGGGCTCTGTGCCCTGGGCCAGCCTCCTCCTGCTTCATTATAAGCTGCTGCAGGCAGGCAGGCATGGCTGCTGGAGCAGAGACACCAGCTCCCCTCCTCCTCTTCGTCTTCTTCGTCATCATCCCTGCTTTGCTTTCTCTTCCAAAGTGCCCTCTCTTTCAAAAATAGCCCAAAGTTTCTTGTGTGAATAATAGCAGTACCGTCACTCACTGGTAGCTTTGCTGACTTGTTATAAGGAAAGAACTCTTAGTTCAGGGCCTGATAGAACTTTCTGGAAGCGATGTATAGCTGTGCTGTTCAACACTGTGGCCACTAGTCACATGTGTCTATGTTGCTGTTGTTAAGTGCTGTGGAGTTGGTTCTGACTCATAGTGACCCTCTATAGGGTTTCTGAGGAGCAGCTGGTGAACTTGAACCATGGACCTTGTAGTGCAAACTGACCTTGCGGTCCAGCGCATTACTCCACAGCAACACACCAGGAGTCCAAAGGAAATGTTAAGTGTTGTTGAGTTGGTTCTGACTCATAACAACCCTGTATATGGTTTCTGAGGAGTGGCTGGTGGGTCTGAAGCACCAACCTTGGGGTTAGCAGTCCAGTGCTACACCAGAATCCATGTTTCTATGGAGTCCTTAAAATGGAGTTAGCATGGCGGGGATACTGAATTGTTACTTCTATTTCATTTTAATAAGCATGCACTGAAAGAGTCATTCATGAGCGGTCAGGGTTCGAGTGTTCTGGTGTGGTGCTGTGGGTTAATGCGCTGGACAGTAAGGTCAGTTTGAATCTCAAAGCTGGTAGTTCAGGCTTACCAGCCGCTCCTCAGAAACCCTATACAGGGCCACTATGGGTCAGAACCTACTCGACAGCACAATGGACTGAACAACTCAACAACAACAACAAGACTTTTGTCACTAAGTTGCTATTATAGTAACTAAGCCAACACTATAGTTGTGAAGTGATTACTATATACTACATTGTTGCTGTTAAGTGCCTTCTAGTCCGTTCTGACTCACAGGGACCCTGTATTGGGGTTTCAAGGCTGTAAATCTTTGCAGAGCAGAAAGTCTCATCATGTTGCTAATACAGCTACTAAGGAGTTCTGGTGGCACTGTAGAATAAGGACTAGACTGTGAACCACAAGGTGGCCAGTTCTAGCCCACCAGCTGCTCCTCAGGAGAAAGATGAGTCTTTCCAGAACCAAAAGGATTTACAGCCTCAGAAACCCTCAGTAGGGTCACTATGAGTTGGCACGGACTCCATGGCACCAAACAACAACAATAATAGTATAGTTACTAACACTGAGGTGTTTTGCATGCATTTCCTCACCATGACCCTGTGGGGTGGGGTGGCATCACGGTCCCCCTTGAGCAGATGAGAGGAGAGAGGCCACACAGTGGTAAGTGGATGAGCAGGACTTGAACCTGGGCTCTGATAGCTGGGAAGACTGCTGTTTCCAGGGGCAAGACATTCTCTGCCATCCCTGGCCAGTGTGTAGTGGGATCCGGGTGCCCACCCTGTCCTCGCTGACCCAGATGTGGGCCAGATGAATGCCACTCTCCCCTGACTGCTGAGACCAAGGCCCAGGCAGTGTGGCACTCTTTCAAATGCTTGGCCCTGGGACACCTCACCGAGTAGGCCTGGCCTCGGGTGCCCTGTCCTGGGTGTAACCACCCCTCTGTGTCCTGGAGTATTGGAGCCTGCTAAGCCTCATCTCCAGGGTGGCGATTGTGTGGGTGCTGAGAGGGTCTTGCATAAGGATGCTGGCCTGCTGCCCGCTGCTCAACACCTCAGTCAGTGTGGGCGTGTAGCTCCAGTTCTGGGGAGATGGGGACTAGGGTCGGCAGCAGGCCCCTCCATCCTGGGGTTCCTGTTGAGATGACTTGCAGGGGAGAGTGGGGGCATCTCTGCTGACAGGACTGGCCACTCAGAGCCAGGCTGTTCTGAATCCCTCGGGCTACCAGAGTGCCCTCTGTGTGTCAGGCATGCCAGACTGGGGAGCTCCTAGTGTTGTGGGGAGGGGGCAAGGACCCCAACATGATGGGAGGAGTACCGGGGTTGTGGAGTCCCATATAAGGGGCACTCCAGTTAAATGGGTAGTCAGGGGAGCTTCCTGGAGGAGGTGGCAGCTGAACCCAGATCTGAAGGATGACAGTTAAACAGGGGGAGGGGAGGAGGGAAGTATGAAGGGCCAGGAAGATCTTGATGTACACCAGGAAGGCTTGGAGGGGCCTCAGGGGCAGGACTATTAGCCTTGGCCCCAAGCTCTGTTCCTCTGGGTCTGTATGATTCAGGGGTGCTAGATTTTGAGAGAGCACAAGCTGGAGACCCAGTTCAGTTTCCAGCTAGTACACCTCATGCAAGTCAGTCATGGAGGCTGGCATGTGGCTAGGATGAAGTTGGTCATGGAGGCGTGTGGCTAGGATGAAGTCGGTCATGTGGCTAGGATGTTGAGCAGGTTTCGGCTTCCTGACTAAGAAGGACTAGGAAGAAAGACCTGGTAATCTGCTTCACAAAGATCTCAAGGTTCAGTTTCTAACAGACCATTGGAATGGCATAGGACCAGTTGGCATTTCTGTCTATTGTACATGGGGTCACCCTGAGTCGGGGGCTGACCCTACAGCCAGTTGCCACAGGCCTCATCTTGCCCCTCTAGGGGTACCTGGAGAGGTTGTCTGTATGGGTCAGGGTCTCCGGAGGGTTAGCAGGCGGGATCCCCTCATTACCCCACTGAAAAGTGACTTCTTGTAGACTATGTTTGAGGGGAGTATTAATCTTTTTTTTTTTTAATTAAATGTTTTTATTTTGAATTGAGTGAAAGTTTACAGGGCACATCATCAGCTTCACATTCAACCATTCATATAGCTTGTTTCATTACATTGATTATTATCCCCTCCATA